GGTGCCAACCGGAGACCTATGTTCACAAATCACTTCATGAAGTGTTTGTGTGTGTGTGTACAGCAGCCTGCAAAAGTAGATTCACGATAAGTTTTACACTAGTATTACCAGTATCATATTAATATGTTTGTATAATCAGGACAACGCGTCTTGTACGCACATTTCGATTTTCCTTAATGTATGCCTACTTTTGCATCCATATATATATATTTATATATATATATATATATATATATATATATGTGTGTGTGTGTGTGCGTGTGTGTGTGTGTGTGTGTAAAATCGTGTTGAACGTCAATGCCTCTCGATCATTTCACATTAATTCGAGGGTCCCTATGAGAATATCTATGTATATACTTTGTTTTTTAACATCATCAACGACCTACCCGATGTTATCACTTCCCAAGTCAGTATATTTATGCTGAAGACACAGCTATTTACACGTTTTGTTAATAGTAAGTTTGATAGATCCTATAAAGTAAATCTAGCAGGTGATACCGAAAATGATGTCGAATTGATAACTGGGGTAAGAATTGGATTGTAATTCTCACCACTTCACAAATGAAACTGCTATCTTTTAGTCATCACAGAGAACTGGTTTTGCCATCCATAAGCATGGCTGATGCCAACTTCAAAGAGAGCAACTTGTTCTCACGTTTTCCACTGACACGAAATGAAATGGTTGTATTGTCTCAATTGCTCGGTAGTACGCTTAAATTCTTGCGGTCAAGGAACCAAATTATAAAGCTCATTAAAACAACGGCCATGAAAATATTTGTGGAAAAGACAGAAATAAACGATATCACAGCAGCGAGAACATGATTGGTCGAGATGCCAGGGCAGAACCGATTATATCACAGACTTTTCTTTGGATTTTGTCAAGAATTTCGAGATACACAGTAGAATCACCAGACCAGATATGGCGGCAACATTATTCAATGCACGGTTGAATCGCATATTTATAAATGTAAAAGATGGATTCTGGTGAGAAAAATCGTTTTGCATGGCACAGTCAACCAACCTTCGTCGCAGACGACGTAGCAGTTGGCTCGATATAGTCGGTCCAGTGACTTCAAGATGGCGTTTAAGTGCTTAAGTGTATAAGTATTTAAGTGATTTCTTATTGAACTAAGTTGGTTGTCAGTCTTCTTCTTTTTTTAATTGTTTCTTCCCAAGTAAGGCAACAATACCACTAGGATGCAGAGAGTTACGGGGAGTGAAAAAAAATATGAATGAGAAGATTGAAAAATGGGGAGGACTGAAGATAGGGCAAAAAAGAACAGTGTTCATGAATAGAGATGACGACGATTGATGATGCATTTAAATATTTGACAATTTTAGTTATAAGCAAGCAAGAAATCAGAAGGGAGTTCCACAGGTAGGAAGTGCGAGAAAAAAACTGTTAGAGTAGAAGTGGCATTTGCATGTAACTAGTTCAACAATAAAACAGTGAGACCTAGTTGCCACTCTAGTAGCACACTTAAATTCATGTAATTCGGGCACACACAAAAAAAAGCTCATCTGAGAAGTTGGCATGAAAATCTATGTAAAACAGTGGAAAATTACGTCAAATTGATGAGAAAGTGACTGGAGATGAGATGCCTGGTCAGAACTGATAATATTACAGACCCTTCTCTGGATTTTGTTAAGAATTTCGAGATACACAGTAGAATCACAAGACCGGATATGGCGGTAGCATTATATTCAATGCACAGACGAATGGTAGAATTATAAATTGAAAGATGGATTCTTATGTGAAAATCTCTGTGACCCGACATATTAAACCAAAATTCCAAGCAGTAGATCTAACTATTTTTTTTTCAATATAATCAATTTATGTCAGTGAAAAATGTGTGTGAAGAAATTGCAAAGCACTTCTCAAAGGTATAATATCAGATATATATCGTTTGTAGATGTAGACAGACTGAAATATATATGAGAAAATTAACAAGCTAACTTGATAGAAAGAAAAAAAAAATGAAAAAGAATAAAAAAGCGCGTCTGTCGTTGAAATTTTCGTTTATGATAAAAGAATGTTAACGAGAAATGAAGTGACAAACATAATGAGATTGGCAGAAAGAGAAAGAGATGTAGAAGGAAAGAAAGAACGGAAGAAAGCTTTCGTAGAAAAGAAAGAGAAATCGAAGATGGACAGCAAAGAAATATATAACCGTTGGCGTGGGGGAAAGGAAAGAAATAAAACCATTTGGAAAAGTAACGATAGGACTTCGGGAAAAATACCGATAAAATTAATTAACTTATTAATTAATTATATGGTAATAATTTATCTGGTTCCTTTTTTTCTGGTTTTAAACTAGCAAATGAGCAAATAAGATTTTTTTATATTTGTTTCTTGTTTTCTTTTGATTAATGATGCAGGCACGCATGTGCATTACGTGCCTATGGCGACGGTCCATGACGAGTCAACGGAGACCAAGATTCCGATAAGTGACGCGAGACTCTTTGAGGGCGTTATGCTTGATTTCATTGGCGTCTGGTTCTTTTGCAATGCCGAGCGATGCAATAACGTTGTCAGGTCTCTCAATACCATTCCGTCATTAATTCTATCAAAATGATACTTTTATCAATGAAGGAAATATATAAAGAGTTTCCAATCCTCCGTCTGTATATCGTGTATCTAATTTGTGATAGTTCCATTAAAGATAGTACAGGATACACAAGATAAGGAATAACATTTTATTCAGTTAAACTTTCGATGAGGGAGGATTTCCTTAACCATAAAAAAAATCTTTTATTAGGTTGGTGCAAAAATAATGACGTAATAATGTCGTTTTTGACGTATTTTTTAACGTCAAAAAACGACATTCTTACGTAATTATTTTTGCACCAACCTAATAATATCATAGGAACCAATACAAATAATAAAAAAAAGAAGATGTATAGCTATGTTTTATTGATTATGGAAAAACATAAAGTACATCACAAAGATTTGTAACTGCTCGCTAGCCTTAACGGGTATTAGAATAACCTAGAACTTATGCTGGAAGCAAGCCAACAGTATACGATAAGACAATAAATTCAATAAATATACAAAAATAGAAGACAAGGATGCATCTTCTCACTGGAATTATTACGCCTATAAATTGAAGAGATTCTGAGAGAATTAGAAGTCCTACCATCATTCATTATTTAGGGCGACAATCTGAACAAAATACGATATGCAGATGACAGTGTTTATAGCAGAAACAGAAAGGAATATGCAAGAACTCCTTAGGTAGTGAAGGAAAGCTCGAAGAAAGGACTAAACACTAATTGCCACAAGACATAATACATGTTTGTCAACAAAAGGCACAGTCAGACATGAACGTTACAAACTGGAAATACCAAAATCAAGCAGATCGAAGTATCTTAGTAATTTAACATACTTAATATCTTAAGTATTTTAACAGAGAACGGAAAGTACGGCACAGATATCCTTCGGATAGCAAAATATACTTTCCAAAAGTTACGTAAAGTATTAAGAAACAAGGACATTTCATTAGAAACAAAGAAAAGAGTGCTAGGCTCTTATTTAATATCGGCCATCCTATATGGCTGTGAATACTGAACAATCTCCGCACAGAGGAAGAAGAAAACTAAGGCGATAGAAATGCTGTCCTATAGACGTATGTTAAGAATGGTATAAACTGCAGATGTGAGTGAAGACGAAGTTTTAGGGAAAAGAGAAGTAAGCTTATACTTAAAATCAGAAAGAAACTGGCAACATTTGTAGGCAGAAAAATGTGGAAAGAGGTGTGACGTCGTCCCCCGGTCGCAGCGTCGACTGTGTCGTTCGATCTCGTTCGCGGCGCCAATTGTGACGTGACGTGGGCCAAGGTTCTGATCCTATGGTCACGACACCAGTTTGACGTCACGTGCTCCCCAGGCTCTGATATCCTGGTCACGGACAGCACCAGTTGTGACGTCTTTGCCGCGGCGTCAGCTGTTCGCTCCTCGCTGCTCCAAACGTGACGTTCTAATCCTTTGGTTAGATTGATACCAGCCTCGTCGTTCTCAACCTGCTTCCAACGCCTGGTTACCAGGGTAACTGCACTGATCTCCGGTCTGCCTACCCACGTTGTGAATTGATCTTAGACAGACGAGATCAAACAGTGCTTGGGGCCGTAATGCAAGTTGAGTCTAACGGGGGTGATAACACACAATTATGCATAAAAAAAAGAAAGAAATAAAATAAGTACTACTTTCTTAAGATATAACGATAAGTTACAATTTCAAAATCAAACGATATCATAAAGGCAATACGTTTGAACAATTGAAAATCATTTTCATTAGATTAAGTATACGCAGAATAAAGCAAATAACTTTTATCGACTTAGGCAAAAGTATAAAGAGTTAGATGAAATTCAAAAACATTAGTGAAAAGAATTTGTCTTCGAGATGTGCTAACTAAATCTTTCTTCAGGTCAAAGCATCCGTCTCTAACTTTTTTCTTTTTCTAAATTTATAAAAAGAAAAAAAAAGCCTGTACATTTGTACAGCATTCGTTATTTTTTTAAAATTAAACCAGAAAATAATGATATAATATAAAATTAAAGGATGTTGATATGTCGTGGAGAATCAGACAAGATTTGAATTTTATACGTATATATATATAGCAGTAAATTCGGCCTTACCAACCGAACGATCCTTTGTGGCCGAGCGGTAAGGCACGTCAGGCTATATGACGGTTCCGTATAGGATACAGGTTCGAATCTTGACGAATATTATCAATGAAAATTTCTCGGACATTCAGGCCGGTAAATGTTATTTAATACTGTTTATTATAAACAGAGCATTTGATTAAATACTTGTACCTATAAAAAAATGTTAAACATATATATATATATATATATATATATATATATATAATAGCCAAATTACCCGCGCCTTGCAGCGTGACACACGTTTTTTTTAAGAAAATGATGATTGATTTTACATCATTGTTATAATTTGTGAAGAAAAATTATGCATTTTTCAATATTACTCAATAATCTTAACGATGTGACCTCCATCCTCTGGCTTACTCCTATATTTTGGATAGGATTAATTCCCTTGTTCAAATTTAAATTTAATTTATATCAAAGGGAAAAAATTTAGTGGGAGATCTCCCAAAAAACCGAAACCCCTTTGATCAAAATGAAATATACTTATCCAAGTACCGTGGATAATGTTGTTTCAGAATATATATGGTTATGGGGTTCTATCATCAAAATCCTAGGAGGAGCTCGATAACAAAGAAACAGACAGAGGCTACAAATTTATATATATATATATATATATATATATATATATATATATATATATATATATATATATATATATATATATATGTATATATATACAAGCAGCATGGCCTGGCGTTGCTCGTGCTTGATTCAAAAATCGTACGACTCATACAGCAATCGCTATCACTTGACTTAAAATATTTTTTCCCTTCCATGTCTTTAAAGGAGTGTCTTTGCTGTGCTGATGTTGCTACATGCCTTACTTCTTGCCTATCTCACAGTGCGATTTTTTTCTAAGCTCTATACTAAACCTTAAATCTTTTACGAAAAAAGAACTAAACAAAATGAACACAAAACGATCAACTTTTAAAAAAAAAGAACTCGTAACTGGAAAAACCGAATGAAAAAAGAATGTTAACAAGAAATACTTTTTCACACACAACCCAGTTCTGTGGAATCAAAATCAACGTTGAGTTTAAGCAAGCGAAGAGCTAACTGGAATAAAGTGCCATGTAGATTTAAATTTTTCCCACTTGTGACGAATGTAGCTATCGATTTTTTTTGCATGCTAGTTAACATTCATGTCAGACAGGTGTTGGCTCTCACGCAGGCCAATATAATCTTCCTGCCTATTCGTAGCAGCCAGCCAAAGGCTCTCACTCTGGCCAGTAGAAAATGGCCGCAGACTACATGAAAACTGCCGTAGTGTAAATCCTTCAAAAATCGCGGCTGTGCATTCGTTACACACACACACACTCACACAGACATCCTGCCTTTTATATATATATATATATATATATGTGTGTGTGTGTGTGTGTGTGTGTGTTTTATTATTTCAAATGTTACTTTTTATAGGATAACCGTATTTGGGTAGACGCTCTGTTTATTTTAAACAGTATTTATTTTTCCTACTGCCCTATGTATTCGGTGTACTTTAACCGCTCTGTCACGAAGAGCTTTACAATCAAGCAAGCTTCTATTTGAATTTAAGTTTTTTCTGGAAATGGTGTATCTCCTCAGTTTCGTATCCGAAACATAAACAGAGCAATTTTTAAAAAATTAATGGATTTTATTTTTATTCCAACATATACTTAAGCAATATACGTATATTGCTTAATATATTGTAATTGACATCGTTGATAATGGCTTATGTAATCCGAAAACTTAGATTGTATTAAAAAATATGGATCAATATTGTGAATTTCTTTCTTCGTTCAATGATAATGTTATTAAACTTATTAGACGTTATGAAAAGAATTTACATAAAATAAATAGACAACACTATATTATTTAATGAAACGTATATGAATATATACATATATATATATATATATATATATATATATATGTGTGTGTGTGTGTGTGTGTGTGTGTGTGTGTGTGTGTGTGTGTGTGTGTGTGTGTGTGTGTGTGTTTTAAATTTATACTATGATTACTGTTTGCAGAACAGTGTTGCTTCCAACAAAAACTTCTTCGGATAATGACTCTGGGTTCAGGCATAGTCGAAGCCATATATATGTATAATTTAATATATTCGAAAATTATAATATAAATGCGTTATAAAATCATTACAAAATTGCCATTTAGTTGAAACCTCACCACTTTATAAGACAACAAATGTGTTGAAATAAAATGACATATTTTTGTTATAATTTTCAAAAAAATTATATTTGTTCCACTCTGTATTGAGCACTCTTTTAAAAATAATATTTTTAGTTATTAGATTTTATTCCGCCTACACCAATCTTATATATATATATATATATATATATATATATATATATGGAGAGAGAAGAGAGAGAGAGAGAGAGAGAGAGAGAGAGAAAGAGAGAGAATGCATTAGCTGCTACAACAGTAAACGGTGAATAGTGTAGGGAGAACTGATATTTCCACTCGTGTATTCACATAAATTATCTAATGGAAAATTGTAATTTCGAATCTATTAATAATCTATTAATTAATTGATACGTAATAATTAGAAAACAAGCCTTCGTCAGATGATATTGACATTCAACATCATCACTTGATAAGACACTGGCGGTGTTGAAACAAAATGGCTATTTTTGTAGTGATTTTATAACATATTTATGTTATAACTTTTAAATAAATAATTATATCTGCTCTAATATGTATTGAGCAATCTTTTAAGAATAGTAATTTTTGGTTATTGGAATTTATTCCGTATACACCAATCCTATACTTGTATATATATATATATATATATATATATATGAAGAAAAATATACGGAAAAAACAAGCAAAATGTACATAAGAA